ACAGCTTGTCCTCACGAAGCGGCAAGTATCCTCCTTTCCCTCATGTCTCTTGTCATACTCACTGGTTTCAAACAATAGACGCAGTCCTCGAAGAGAACTTCAAGCGTGGGGATAGAGTCTCTGTGATTGAAAGAGGTGATTTTTTTGCATCAGGGTTGAGGCATTGTTGATCTGACATTCCAAGGTTCGTCTCTGGAAGACAACTACAAACGTTCAGGTTCGTTAATCATAGTATTTCGTTGAATACTTACACGCAGACTGAAATCTAATTATATCTCAGAAGAACTAGAAGAAAATTTCAAACGTGCTGAAGAGAGTCTCGTGGAGAACTTTAAACGGACAGATGATGTTCTGGAAGAGAACTTCAAGGCTCGCACCAACGATCTCGAAGAAAACTTCAGACGGGGTAGCGACCTTGAGGAGAATTTCAAAGCCCGTACCAATAATCTGGAAGAAAATTTCAAGGCTCGTGTTAACGACCTCGAGGAGAATTTCAAACGGGAAAGCAACCTTGAGGAGAATTTCAAGCGCGAGTCTGTACCTTCCATGTGAAGCCAGGGTAAGGAACTAATACGGAGAAACGTGAGTACTTAAATGGGCTGTCTTAATTGGACTCATTGGTAAAATGCAGTCATTTCAAGTTACGCGCCTGTAGAGCAGACTGGCGAGATATTTATGATTCCTGAATCCTATGTATGATGGTACCTGCCGTCGTTCTTTTAGTCTGGGTTTGTTTAATACATATGTGGCCAATTGATAGGCTTTCGGGAGCGACTGAAGTCAAAATGATATTGCAATCTGGTTCGACTGGCCATGAATCGGAACACATTGAGTTACCGCGGTTGCTATATTATCGGCCCCGCTCTTTTGAAAGATTATTAATCATGAAACAAAAAAGCAGAATGATGAAGTCATATTTGTTGGATGAAGCAAAGAATTTCTAAGAATCAGTACTCGAAAACCAAGGAATTCGTGCGCCCGCGCTGTGCAGTCAGGTCACCTGCTACCTCCGCAAACTCTGAGTGTCAGTCTCGAGCTGTCTCGAGACCTACGGACTATGTCACATTACGTATACCGCCGACGGTACTTACCGGCTTAACCCGTAGTGAGTTCTCAAAGCCGAGTCGACGGAAGCCGTCAGGAACTTCTTGGAAGAGGAATGTATGACTTATCTCGAGATCTGGAAGCCATTGACAAGTATCATACATGAAATAGTCATTCGATAGAGTTTAGACTGAACAACATTTGTGGCGTGATACGATGGTATCCCCGCACAACAACTACCCGTAGTTGGTGAATGCAGAAGGAAGTGTGCAAAAAGAGCAAAGTTACCGGTTACCAAGTTTGCAGAAAAGATGCGACATCGATATCTTCTCTTTTCCTTTTGAAAGAAAGGTGGCCACCGCAGAACATCCTCTTTCGTATGATATCTTTTCCAAGACAATACGATGTCAACCTCATCAAGGGTTCGCGGAGATTATTAACCTGCCGGCCAAAAATTCCAAGTCACCGCGAGGTCTCTTATCGATATCTGTTCATGTAGCTTACCCAAACTACGCTCCAAAAGTGTTATTTATTTGCAATGTTAATCACGGATACATAAGTTCAATGTAGCTACGGATGACAATCCTTTCTACCAGCATCTCATTCACATCCTCAAAACCCGTTCCAAATCCTTCACCCTCTTCTCCAACTTCCTCACGTAGAGATGTGCAACGCAGTCGTCCGAACATTGGTTACACAACACACGCGCACGCGCACTTTCTCCATCCACTCCACCTTGATAATCACTGGCCATCGCATTACCGCGGCTTTCATAGGGAGAGGGCAACGGATCAAACGGACAAGGCAAAAGCGACTCTGACAAAGTCGAATAGACTGATCCAGGTGATGATGAACAGGCTTCGGGAGTAGGAGATCGAGAAAGTTCTGTGTCAGTCGTATCCAGAAAAACCGAAGGTGCACGAGAAGATGAACTAGGAAAACATTCCTCCTCCACATCACTATAGTCACCATCATCATCCGTTGCAGTGCGATTGACGATCCTCAATCTACCTCGAGGTTCTTGAAGACCTTCTGGACTGGCCATACCGGCAACGTCAGTGATGGTCTTCGACTCAACCAAATGTAATCCTAAAGCGTTGGGGAAGCTAGGACTTTTCGGGGGAACCTCATCTACTGCTGATAAAAGTGGTAGACTAGACATGGACATAGCTGATAAACGGAGATGTGAAAAGGACACGTTGATATCGGCATCAAAGTCAGAGGCTTCAAGGAGACGTTCGTCAACTACCAGAGGGGCACATGAAGTTTAGCAGGTAGGACGAGCTCTAAGGATGATAATTACTTACGAGCAGATGCTGTAGAACACGAACTTAGCGAATCACTGTCCTTTCTTCTAACTCGTCTTTTTCCAGAATAGAATTCCTTGACAGAACCCCTCGCAGCTTCTTCGGTGCCGGAACCGACCGGTCCATCAGTTGGGTGACTAACACGGGGAGTATCATCATCCAGTACCCCTTTAGTCTCTACATCGTCCTTCACTTCGCCGACTTCGTCGAATAACTCCCTTTCAATCGTATCCCAATGACGCAAAAACCAGACCATTATCGAAATCACTTCATCCCAAGACTCCTCTTGTATCCCACGTCCCTCCATCTTTCCACCACCTCCACCATTACTGGTACCAAACATCCACCTCCCAAATTTCCTAACAAATTCCAACGCTTTCTTATCCTCCCCTAAAACCCCCCTAACCACATCCAACTGAACCTCTCCCATTTGCACCCCGAGTCTACTTTCCACAACCCAACACACATACCCCATCAGATACGCAAAGAGCGAAAGGTTGGCCGAAGGAAGAAGACGAAGCAACAGCCTAGCTACTTTGATCCGAACTGGGTTACTGACAGGACAGACACAACACCATTCCCACAACGCTCTGGCGATCCCTTTATCATTAGTAGGTCCGTTGGATCCCGGACCTGAGAGAACGATAGCTTCCGGTAACTCCGTTAAAAATCGGTCTAGCAATCCCCATACGTCTTCCGTGCTCTCATTGACGAGCGTGGTGTTCGAACCGAATTTATGAAGACGTGATGAAGAGTTGAAGATGTCGACGAGAGCTTCAAGTCTAGTCGCCGTTGGGTCTACTGACATTGTTGTGCCTATGACAGCGGATATCCCGACCTCGCCTCGAGCTGAGAGTTCCTGAACGCATTTGCAAACGAGAATAGGGAGATCATGCTCGTATCCCACTTCGTCTGGGCATGATTCTTCGGCCCCAGCGTTACGTGAGATGGAGCCATCATCTTCACATGGAGAATTATCGACTTTGGAAACAGCTTTGGTAGAGGCGTATAGCGAGATTTGTCGAAGAGGTTGTGCAAACACGGCTAGTTAGTCGTTGATCAATGATCGGGGTTCCAATAACGACACGAATAGACACCAGGTGAGAAGAGAAAAAGACGTCAGTATTTCGTAGATTATGAAACTTGAAAAAATCATAAACTACTCACCTAACCTCTGCCCTTCCTCGTTTCCTTGAGGAGAAAGACCAACGTCTTCTTTCTCTCTCCAACGTTCCCAACGCAAGAGCTCCTTATATACCTTCTTCATCAATCCGTCGTTCTCCATCTGTTCTTGATCGTGAATAGCGATGAGTTCGTCCAAGTCCAGATTTAGAGATAGGTCCCGGTGTTGATGTTGAGGTTGAGAGTGATAGGCTTGGAGTTGCATTTGTCGCAGATACACTCGAAGATGATGCAAGATGACAGTTGGATGCGGTTTTGTGAAACGTCTGGCTTGCGGCACTTCTTGCTCGGACGAGGAAGACCGAGGGCTCGAGGGTTGAGGGGATGGAGATTGAGTCTGAGGTTCATCGACGTTATCATTAATTTTCTGACTGGATAGAGGCTGTGTTGACTTGGATTGAGGAGATGGGCGTTGAGGTTCGCGTTCACGTTGTGTTGGCCTCGGATTTGGAGAAAGACATGGATTCTGATTTGCGTTGTTTTTCGTGATAACAGCGAGTTTAGCAGCACTTGATTTGATGGAGATTGGAGAAAGAGAAAGACTGGAAAGTGTAGCAGCCGAGAACGAATTGCTTGAAACACGACGACGACCTTTGTTTTCTTGTTGTTTGAATGAAGATGATACACCAGGGATGAAAGGCGTAGGCGTAGCAAGATGAGATGCTGAGGATGCACGTCGATGATTAGACTGACGATGATGACGTGGCATTTGTAGCTTGGAAAATTGGGAAGTGATAGTATCAGCATCGGTTCCCAATGGAACGTCGATTTGATAGGGACCTGTGCCCGGTAGCGCCTTGAAAATATTTGATGTAGGCCGAGGGTATCTGGGAATCTTAGTAGTCGTAATAGGAATGGTAGGCATGGATGTTGATGTAGGCATGTTGGACGAAGGTGGAGGAGCCAAAGCATTTGTGAGACCGTGCGATTCAACACAAGCGATACTCGGAGTAGAAGTAGAACTGGGTGTACACGTAGTTATCGAAAGATTTGGATTGGGCGAGCTCGAGAACGCAATGGGACCGATCTGTCCGTATCTGCGGCTAGCAGCGCGGCCATTACGGGGATTAGGAATGCTGAGCGAAATTGACTGCCTGTGTTGCCCGCGGTGTGTAACAGAAGAAGTAGGAGCTGCGTTCAGAGGATGTTTCGAAGGGCTTTTTACTGAAGGCTGGGGAACCTTGGACGAAGAAGCAATCCGACGGTGAGTTGAAGACGGAGGTGGACCCCGCCCCAGACCAGAAGTGGCCATAGCGACTACCCTTGTAGCTTTTTCTTCTTTTGCCCTGCTTGGAGCCAATGTCCTTTCACTAGTATCGCTTTGCTAGTATGTGGAGAAGTAGGAAGGAAAGATTTAGCTTTGGCGTGTGAGTGTGTGCAGTTGAAAGACTCGTCCAAGCAAATATCTGTAGTCATGGGGTTCCGTGTCGAACGATGTTGAACAATATGAGCGGCGGTAGTACTAACGGTCTAATAGTGTAGTGGTTATCACACGGGATTTTGAAATAATCTTCCCGTAACTCAGGTTCGAATCCTGGTTAGACCTTTGTTTTTACAACAGGTATGGCTTACTACGTCGCGCCAACTTTTGGGACGTCCACCGTTATAATATTTTGCGAGTTTCCCATCGACCAAAGGTCAAGGGTTTTTCACGGGCAGACTTCCGAGATTCAGGGTCGACAATTCTGGGTCGACAATTCGACGATCGACCGTTTTTGTTTTTGGCTGATGAGAACGGGGAGCCCCCGGGGGGAGGACGTCTCAATTTTCTATACAGCACGTTCCGAAAGGTACATGTTATTGAATTGTATGGACGCACAGGCTCCTCCCTTTCATCAAAAACGCATCTCATAACACAAATATACTTAGACCGGGATGTCGATAGATATGAAGCAACTTTGTTCATCATGAAAGATATGGGCCATCGCTGCGCGTGGCAGAAACGAGGTCGTAAATCGTTGGGATTCGGATGTTAAGTACTGGATGTCAAAATGTCTGAATTCAGTGGTATGCTAAACGGCGTCTACGTTGTAGCCTAGTTATATCGGACAGATAAGTCAGCTGTGTGATTTTCATAATAGCTACCGATGTGGTTGTGTTTGGAGGCTTCGACTTCCTTTTCCTGGAATCCGCCATGCGAATCTTTGTTCTACGTACACGGTTTTATACTACCTCAATCAACCTCAATGGTGTGGGCATTCACCTATCCATTATGCAAAATACAACGGACCAACTTGAACGTCGTTACCGATACCCATGTGTTTTTCCATCTTGAACTTTAACTGTTTTTTGATTCTGTAGCAGCCTGGGTTATGTACAGGGACTCACCGGGTACTTACTCTGGTTGATCGTCATGGTATCTACAAGAGACTAAGGTTCGAGATGATTGTTGCAGCATCATCGCCAACGCCAACAGAGGCCTTTGCCCATTTCCAGTAGGACCAATTTTGTTGTATTTAATTTGGGTGACTGAAGCTCGAGCCAATGCATACAGGTTCTGGACAAATACTTACAGGAGAAATTTATACATCGTCCCATTTGTAAGTATTCAGATTCCACAGTCATTGATGAAAATTTTGAAGTTCTATCAAGTTTAAACAAAATTAAGTCCCACTAAGGCATGTCCATTGCATACAACTACCACTACTAGTGGTACTAATCTATACGAGATCTCTCAAAAGGCGGAGCCTCCAAACCAAGATTGTCCTTCATCCACAGTCACCAACTGCCGAGAAACCTGAGATTGAATCCTCTGACCATCATCATTTTCAAATTCATCTTCATTCAGCGGCCCAGAAGCAAAACGCAAGCTCTGACTATATTGGGTTGTAGGTAAGGCTGCATCCATTGCTTCTTGACGGATATGAAGAAGCATGCGAGAAGTGAGGATGGAATGCATGGCTGCCTGTAGACTGGAGGAATGGGCGGATTAGTTATAGTATTAGTATACAGTGTTCGGTATATATACCCTAGAAATAGGGCTGCGTATCCCCCAGAAAGTGTTGTTCGAATAATTATATTCGTAGCTGAGCTTGCTATATCCCGATAAGATTGACTAGGGGGAGGGGCGGGGAGTGACCTTCAGATTGCTTACCCAGAGCAACGATATTATACGTCAATCCTGAAAGAGGCTATTGATGAACAAGAGTATGTCCCAACAAAGGTGCTCGCTGAGCTTACCGTACACGAAGAATTTGAATATGAAAGAAGTGTGACTTCCAGATTGACCTAATTAACACATAGACCATGATGAATAGATACCTTGACAGAGGTGCAAACACTGGAATACCATGCTTTCTTGCCTTGTATACAGTTAAAACAAGTATCACTATGAATTCATTAAAATAGTATTGACACTTCAGTATATCTCAACCAAAATGATCAATCACACCTGTTTCATAGGCTGTCAAATACACGAACATAAATAGAACGGGGTTGGAGCTGACAAGAAAGGGAGGACAGAACCCAAGCTTGTTGTAGATGATGGATTCATAGGAATCTAACATGATGAATGTACACAGCTTGTCACAGATGAGAATAGGCCATCGGGAAATTGGTCTCGGGATAATTTTGATTACTTTAGCAGTAATATGTGGATATTACTTGCAATATTGACCATAGTGAAGAATACTGTAAATTAGCCGGTCCCCCTGTAGCACTAGTGCATAATAGTAAAGGATATCCACGCATTAGCTCTATAATAGCTGTGACTACTAACTCTCAATTTTCCCAATCACAAGATGAAAAGCAAAAACCAAATGACATTGCACGAAAGACTACACTACTACAGTTATAGTAATCAACTAATAATTTCTCGTTGGTCCCTCTAAAAAGCTCCCAAGTCCCCAACACAATATCGAATCCCACTCCAATGTCCATTGGACCATGTGTCACCGAAGCAAGCAATAAACTAACTAATGACATAAGAATGAGTTAAAAATAAAGCAGGAATTGGTTGAAAGACTCACGTCTATTCAATAATCAGCAGGTCTTGAAGTACCACATCGACCTTCATCAAAACAAAGTCAGAATATGATAGGAGTCAAGGTAAGAGAACTCACAATGCCGGCAAAACCCATAGCTCAAGTAATGAAGGGTCAAGCGGATAGTCATGGAAAATGTGCCACGTCACAGTGGAAATTCGAAGGGCTGATTCCTGAAGTACCAGAAAGAGAAAGTCAGAATACGATGTAAGTAGAAGAAAAAGAACTCGCACTACGTCAAAGACCAATAGCCCAGGCCATGGAAACTCGAAGGGCCCTCTGCAATGAACAACAGATGAGGGGAATAGTGAGGACAAGCATGCCACGTCGTTGTTTAAGTAAAAGAAGAACCGCATGTGACTGAACTATTAAATAAGCGGAGTTTCAAATTTCTCGGTCCGTGTTGGCAGCATCCAAATTTTTTACAAGTCCGTGCGTACACACAAGTACTTAATAAGACAGTTGAAGAGTCCAATAGATGTCAACGCTTACAACTTTTTTTCAACAAATAACATACTTTTGGCGGTAATACTTGTACGCAAACTACTGTAACATGTTAATACGAGTTTCAGTTTGGAATCACTAAAAATTAAGCGTGAGTAATTTCTGAATAATCCTACTATTATATTGACACTGCACGTCAACATGAACAATATCAGTTACTTTCCAAAATAATAGCTCCGCTATCCGATACTAGCGATATTAATTGCTAAACTAGCAAATATTATCCCGGGACCATTTTCCTGATGCCCTAGAGGACTCACCACTGGCAGGTAAATATTTCTTCTGGTATTGTGGAGTACTTGGTAATGAAGACAAACACATGATAGGCATCGGGGCAAGGAATCCAATAACAAGCAGGCAGGCTATCTTCCGGGAGTTCCCCCAAACTGCCCACACTCTTAAGGATAGTATCACTAAAGGTTAATGAAGTAAAAGTACATCGGCAGTAAAGGTGAAACGCCTACCCTCGGCTATGTAGAGCTCAAAAAACATCAAAACTTTTTTATGGGTGCATCTCAAAATGACGAAAAAAAGAAAGGTCTCAAAAGATAACACTCACAAGATGTTCCCTCGTTCAGAGCTTTACATGTCCCCAAAGATGTAAAACGGCTCGTTTTCACTATAAATCAAATTGTATCAGTGACAATGAATTTTCATCTGACAGATCCAAAGGACCGACAGAAAACGGTGGATATAGCTCCAGCAAAAGCCAGATACCGTGTGAGAAAATAAAGAAGTTTTCCAAACTTCCAAGGAGCTTTCCAGACTAGTCGAATCTCTGTATCTGCCAAATTAAAAGAGCCAGGAACAGTAAGTGTATGCACCCATATTCAAGCTGAGATTCACAGACCAAGCGAGATAAGGAAATCATAAACCTAATACAATATAAATCATTGGACATCTTGCAGAAAGCAAAAAGCAAAAAGATTAGAAACCAATAATGTCAACCCGGCAACTGGAAGCAATAGGACAATATTAAATGACTGGGAAATTGAGTAAAACATCTCAGACTGACTATCAAACATCTGTTGGACATTGGGACCACAAATTGAGATACAATTTTTTAATGCACAATGTCTTAACATACCAATTCGTCATCATGAACGCCTACGAGGTAAGAGACAGCGCGCGAGTCAGCAGAGGAGGACATTGTTCAAGTTCAAAAAATGTGCCGAGGCATCAGACAACTTAAATCGTACTGAGACTGATGAAAGCTGTCACTCGGAACAACAACATTCGCAACTGAGGTACTAAGTATACTGGACTGATGCTGTGGCCTAGGATATACTCCAATAGAAACACCAACTGGACTTTATTTCAGGAATGTAGTGAAATGAGGTTTGTAAGTTTCAAAATCTCAACTACGAGGGATCATGATCATGATGCAAAGTCATACTATTTTTTTATCCATAATTGAAAATTCATTTATGTTGAAGGAGACAGAACCCAGGGTTCTGTGCTGGTGTGTTATACAAACATGACTGACCGCTTTTTCAAAGCTCAAATCCTTGTAGGATAATTCTATGATAATATTGAGGCCTGAAATCTTGCATTCATGTAGACAACCCCTGATATATATCTATAGTTGAAAAAATTTTCTCGGGAGGTAAAGTCCCGGGAATGATGATGATGTAGTTATCTATGCTGTTGTGAGGCTTGAAGGAGTTGAGATCAACATCTCATATGATGGAACTTCCAGCCACCGATGTGGTTTTTTTCGGACCGGAAGGCTTCACTAGGACTTCCTTTTCCCGGAATCGCCCCCTCCCAAATTCCGAGACGGAGTCCGCGTGAATCTTTGTTCTATACACAGATTCATACCGCCTCAATTAACTTCAACAGCAGGGGCATTCACCTATCCATAGACCCAAGTCATCCTAAACAATCAACTTGAATGTCACCATCACCAACTTGGATACCCTGTCATGTCAAGTGGGTCGCCGCAAGCGTGGCAAGTACGAGGCCTTTGCCATGGAACAGACATTACCCGCCAGGGAAGTCAGAAGCTTCTGACCACATCAGTGATGAATCGATGACCCTTGAATTGGTCTTGACAAAC